ATGATAATCAACAATGATTTCATATTGAAGTTGCCGTTGCCGATACAAATTTTCAATTCCAGATTTATCAGTTGAATTCAAATTTCAACAGCTGACGTTGTGGAATTTGAACATATGTCCCCAGAGCATGAGACTGGGCCTCTGGATAGCTAGACCAGTGATATTGCCATTATGAAACTACCTCCTGCCTGTATTCCACGACCCTTGGTAAGATGTGTGTGCAGTGGCAGAGTTGGAGTGAGTTGGTGGTGCTGTGAGTGTCAGGTACCCCAGAAGAAGATGGTGCAGCTCACTCTTATTGGAGTGCAGAAGATCATTGACCTTCTGCACTAATGGTGTGTTACATTGAACTTGGGATGCAGCACTGACCCAGGCTGTTATCTATGTTTAGGTAAGTCTGCTGGTATGGCCTCCTTTGCCAGTCCACAGGATAATGCATTGCCCTTCACTCCAACGCCTATCACCACCAGCTTCAGGCCCTTGTGGGTGACCTGAGAAGCTAACTTGCTGTTCTGGGCCTCATGTTCCATAATGAGAGTGGAATAGCACAGTGTGAGGGATAGTTCCTGGCTTGTGATTTGAAGCTGGGCTTTAAATATGGCACCAGCATCATGAATGCCATAAGGTCCCAGCAGCGGTGAGTATTTCTGCCTTTCCTCCTGTGAGATCTCACAAGAAGTGCACTGTAGGGCCTGGCATGAGGTAGTGAAGTAAAGAACAGAAGATTGTGTGGAATAAATCCCTTTGAATCATGGCAGACTGGATGTCGTGTATCTCATTCAACAACACATTTTAACTAGAAATTGGAAATTTCAGGCCGTAGGTTTTTCCTCATTCCTAAAGGGTGAAGGATGATTGTGATCCCTGAAAATAATCTCCAAGACAACCATCTGCTTTGATGCCTAATTTGATCTAGGAAGTGATAGTCAGTTTGTTTATGTAAGATTTGTCACAGACTCAAAACGTAAGGAGGTAGCTCTTAAACCATCTTCTGTATAGTCAAGTTTTGATGGAGAGTGTTCTGTGACTTGATCACAAAACATATTAATGGAAACCGGCCAGAATAAGTGATTTGATAATGTGGTCATGGGGATTTATGGTAAAATAAGATTAATGCCTTAAGAAATACTTTCATTGTAATATAGTGAAAGGTGCTCAATTGCACAGCTAAGACATTAAGAAAATAATCAGTTCTGAGGAAGGGTCACCGGACCTGAAACGTTAACTCTGTTTTCTCCTTCATAGATGCTGCCAGACCTGCTGAGCTTTTCCAGCAACTTTGTTTTTGTTCAAGAAAATAATGCTGATGTGCATATTCTGTTATTGTCCGAGGGCAATGTACAGTAAGCTTTCGATTATAACAGGGAGAAAGCTGGTAGTTTCTATATTTTTCTTATTTACAAATCTGTTGAAAGATGAAGACCCATGATACAAGATATTTCAAAGATTGATAATAGGAAAAGGAATAATATAAATCAACTTTTGGGCCACTAGATTTTAGTACACTAGATTTCCCTTAGCTTCAGCTTTTCTAGTCTATCCTGTTCACTGATCCACACAGACCTTATGATCTGAAGTTTGTCCTTGATGCCCAAAGTCTAGTCATCCAACTACTTGTAATATGAACTGGATGTTGAAAACAAACACATGCCCCCATGATCCTGTTCAATTTATCTTCCAAAAGATGGACTGATTTTCAGTTGGTGAGAAAAAGCCATTCAGAATTGAATAGATTAACATTAATAGTGATTAGAGTGAGTCCCAATTTATTTCATAAAGACCACATTGCTAACCATAAGTACATTATTCAGATTTTGCCACTCTCTCTGCATCTAATCATTAATATCCCTACGGGGAAAACCTCCCTGCTCGAGATTTGGCAGTTGCAGGCTGACATGGCAGCCCATGTATTTCTATCCTGGCTGAAAATGAAACCTCTGAGCCATTCCCTGCTTTCCTTTCCGCAAATGGCCCACTTGTGAAGAATGGCTGTCTTCTGCATACATGTGGTTCACCTCGATCTATCTTTTCTCCTTTCCATTGTTATAGATCAGTTGTGTATTTCCAGCATTTTCTGTATTTATCGCCGCCAAAATATTTTTCTTTCATTGAACAGCACAGAAAGTACTGCTAGCACTCCTCTTAAGAATCTTTACGTTCCAGTTTTACAAACCTACAAATACATCCTCAGAGATTTATGATTGGAATGATATCTGGAATATTCACTCACTAGCAAGGGACAATGGGATTAATAAACTGATATATTTGTTTGAAGTGATTGCAAAATGATGTAATTCAATTTCTAGGAGGCAATAATAGGATATTAGTAACATGATATCGCAATTGAAATACTCTAACAAGCTTGGAATAATGTTTGGAAACAGCAATACTTGGCTATATTATATATATTTTTCAAAAAGATCCAGATACACTTCTGTTCTCTAATGTGGTAAAACCAATATATCATTAAGCCTTGCTGACCACAGTAAACTGCCAGTGACTGTTTGAACAATACATGATCACAAGTCTTATTTTAGAAGTGGAGAAGACAAGTTACTAAATTGTGTCCAAGGAGAAGATGATCTATAGATGAGGCAGATGGAAGAAAAAGATAAAGGGTTGGATTGTGACTGCCTTCGCTGTTCTTTATTATAACATCTGAGCATTTTGTTATATGGCTGCCTCTGCTGCTCTCTGTTGGAGAAATGTAAACGAAGTTAGTTCAACAATGGATGCCTGCAGTTGAGCATGTGATAGTCTTACTCATCAATCACCTGGTGTTAGCAGGCTCACTGTTCCAGCATGGTGGCAATGGACCTGCCTCCATTTTGAAAGGGAATTACCACAGTGTGTTCAAAGCACCTGTTTATTTCAGGTAAAGTGCCTCTTGACCAGCAGTTATTTTAGGTTGGAAGTGCTTATTTCAGAGTTTCCAATGTGTCCTGAAGTGTAACAGCAGTAAATGCCTCCACAGTTGCTATTGTTGACATTGGATGATCTGGCCCACTGTGTTTCTTATTAAATACTGTTAGAGCCCTAAGTCACCAACTATCCATAATGGACTTGGACAAGTAAAATGTTTCTGCTGCAGTTTAGTATGTTTTAGTCAGCATTCACCACTGTAAGTAGTGTCTGTCTCTCTCTGGATTATGATGTGGAGATGCCAGTGTTGGACTGGGGTGGACAAGGTCAAAAATCACATGACACCAGGTTATAGTCTACCAGGTTTATTTGAAAACACAAGCTTTCGGGCTCGGCTCCTTCCTCAGGCGTAGTGTGAGAGAAAGGGTATAAGACACAGAATTTATAAGTAGAAAGGTAACAATCCTAAAACTGGCCACCTCTTGTTGAATCTTTAATCAGTTAGGAAGGAGACTGCTCATTAAAATGCAAAATCCAGATTCCTCTCAAGTCATTGTCCCAAGATAATTAAAGGTTTTATCAATGTATACAAGAGGTAACATCTCAGGTCAGACAATGCATTTTAGGTGTGACGTCTTGCTTAGAATCTGTCTATGTTTTAAACTGTGGTCAGGTTTTATTTTTTTGAGCAAAACAGAATGTATCCGCAACTACACAAACATCTTAGATGAAATATTTCCTATGTGTGTCTGTCTGTGTGTGTGCGTGTTTGTGTCCGTGTCAATGTTTGTGAGAGAGAGAGAGAGAGAGAGATAAAGAGAGAGAGTGTGTACGTGTGTGTGTGCGTATGTGTGTGTGTGTGTGTGCGTGTGTGTGTGCTTGAGAGAGTATGAGTGTGAGGGAGTGTGTGTGTATGAGTGTGTTTGTGATTTGGGGCTGAGCGTCCTCCATGGTGGATTTTGGGATACACAACAACACAAAATCACTGACTAGAGGCTGGGGAGTATTCCATCACATTCATGACTTATATCTTAAAGATGGTGGACAGGCTTTGGGGAGTCAGGAGTTGTGTTACTCGCTGCAGCATTCCTATTCTCTGACCTGCTGTTGTAGCTACTGTGTCTATGTGGTGAGCCTGGTTATGTTTTTAGTTAATGATAACCCCCAGGATGTTGATAGTGGGGCAGTGGTAAGATTGTCTCTCATTGGCGCTGGTCATAGCTTGGTATTTGTGTGGTGTGAATGTTACTTGCCGCTTATCAGTCCAAGCCTGGATATTGTCCTGTTCTTGTTGCATTTGGACATTAACTGCATCAGTATCTGAGGAGTCGCAAATGGTGCTGTACATTTGTGCAATTATTGGCAAACATCTCACTTCTGATGTTATGATGGAGGGAAGGTCATTGATGAAGCAGCTGAAGATGATTTGCCTAGGACATTACCCTGAAGACCTCCTGCAGAGATGTCCTGGAGCTGAGATGACAGACTTCCAACAACCACGACCATCTTTCTATGTGCCAGGTATGACTCTAACCACCAGAGAGCTTGCCCCCTGATTCCCATTGATTCCAATCTTGCTCGGGTTCGTGGTTAAAGAATGGCTATCTCCATTTTCGTGAAGTTCTTCAGTTAAAGCTGCACCAAAGTAGGTCTCGGTCTGCATTAGAATTGGTTGGATGCTTGGTGAAAAACTGATGTTAAAGCTTCAGGTTTTACTTTTCACTTACGTCATCTTGCTGTAATCAATGATTGATTTTTTTTTTGCTTCCCCAAAGAATATATGCTTTATTTAAAGATTGTTCAAAAGTTTTATTTAGTGTTTGTTCATGTTCTTAGAAAACTCAATTTACTGTCTTCATAGATGTTGTCCCAGAGGTGACTTGTCTGCTGGCTGGATGATCCTCAGTTTCTTGCTTTTGTTCAAACAGCTGGAGACTACTTTGGAACATAAGAGTTTTTCTGAAAGGACCCCGCTTTCTTGCATCATGCATGTTATTCAGTGGATGGAATGGGTTCAGTAGACAATTGGATGCATTCCTGAAGAATAAAGGGACTGAGGGAGATATGTCTGAAGCAGTTAAGTGGAGTAGATTTACAGAAAAGGAAATGGCTCTGTTGTGTCTAATATTTCTTCCTGTTCTATAGTGTTGCAGTCGCATCCCATTCCATACCATTTATCTGAAGGGGTGGTGCTTCTTCTTTGTGAGTATAAAAGAATCAAATACTTTGATTTTTCAGATAAAAGGTATGCTGGTCTCCCTTGCACCAAAGTGGAATAGAATAAGTTGAGAAACCTGAAATACTAAGAATCTGTGGGATTAGTAATAATTTACTGATTAATGTTATCTTCAATGCATAGGATGCAAAATTTCTGAATTCTTTTTGAATGAACGGAAAGAGGAAGTGCTTTCCCTTTTCTATCTTTTTTATTATGGCGTCCTTGTTATGGATTGGTTGATGAATTTACGTCTAATTTCTCTCTGTGAAGCCACTAAAGAGACTAACATGTTCATACCATTGAGTGTAAGAGTTGGGACATCATGTTGATGGTGAGGCCACCTTTGGAGTACTGTGTACAGTTCTGGTCATCCCGCTATAGAAAGGATATTATTAAATTGGAGAGGGTGCAGAAAAGATTTACAAGGATGTTACTGGGCCTTGAGGGTTTGGGTTATAGTGAGAAGCTGGATAAGCTGGGACTTCCTTCACTAGAGCACAAGAAGTTGAGAGGTGACCTTATAAAGGTTTGTGAAATCATGAGGGGCATAGATAAGATGAATAGCAAAGGTCTTTCCCCTAGGGTAAGGGAGTCCAAAACCAGAGGGCATATTTTGAAGGTGAGAGGAGAAAGATTTAAAAGGGACCTGAGGGGCAACTTTTTCACACAGAGGGTGGTTCACATGTGGAATGAACTGCCAGAAGAAGTGGTGGATGCAGGTACAGCTACAACATTTAAAAGACATTTGGACAGGTACATGAATGGGAAAGGTTTAGAGGGATATGGGCCAAATGAAGGCAAATGGGACTAGTTTAGTTCAGGAAATTTGGTCGGCATGGACAAGTTGGACCGAATGTCTGTTTCCATGCTGTATGACTCTATCACTGTACAAGTATCAAAATAGCATAGATATGAATTGAACACAAATGTACACCATTGGAATTAAACACCCTTAGTTTGATGGCTGAAAAGATGGATTTGTTCAAACATGATTCTCAAGCTGTCTCGCAGTGAAATAACATTGACCAGTTCAGATGCAGCCCCAACGTTTATATCTTACCATTCCTCCCACATATCCACATACCCACTTGCCCTTTGACTTCCAAGATTAGCAATCCTACCTTTTATTAGAGCTCATCAGTCTGTGGTTGGCACAATATTGTCCATGCAGGAGCTGACAGGTTGCCAAGTTTTTGGTGATCAGACTCAAATAATTGAGGTTTGGCTTGGGAATATAAACATGCCAATTAAACATGCAAAGTTTTAAAAAAACTCTCAGCATTCATCACTAAGAGGAGATGAAGTACAACTTATAAACCAGTCATCATATGCTTTCAACATCTCCCATGAAAGGCTTTCCCATGAAAACTCGAGTGGATGTCTGGTTACGCAGACGAGACTGTGTTCCAGATCTAAATAGTTTGTGATTTGGCTATCCGTGGAGTGTTCAATCCAAAGGGCAACTGCATTTCTTTCCCAGTTTACCACAGTTACAAGTATATTTGACCGAACAGCTTACTAAAAATCTTTCTGTTTGGGATTCTATTGAGGCGTTACACTTAAGATAAACAAATTTGTTAAAATTTGAATCCAAATGTTAAACAATCCTGCAAAAGCATTAACAACAGTGATTTTGACCCTTATGTCATCATAAAACATAAAAAAATATTAGAAGATATAGGAGCAGGGATTCATACATCATAGAATCCCTACAGTATGGAACCAGACTCTTCAGCCCAACAAGTCCACACTGACCCTCACAGCATCCCACCCAGACCCATAACCCTATAACTCACATAACCTACACATCCCTGAACACAATGGGCAATTTAGCATAGCCTATCCACCTAGCCTGCATGTCTTTGGACTGTGGGAGGAAACCAGAGTAACCAGAGGAAACCCATGTAGACACAGGGAGAATGTGCAAATTCCACACAGACAGTCACCCGAGGTTGGAATGGAACCTGGATCCCTGGTGCTGTGAGGCAGCAGTGCTAACCACTGAGCCACCGTGTCACCCTAGTTGTCTGTGCAGCCCCTCAAGCCTGCCTATCATTCAAGAAGATCACGCCTGATCTGCCCCAGGTCTCAATTCCTCTTTCAGGCTAGCTCAATACTGCTGTTATCTCCCTGATATTTCAAAAATCAGTCTATCTCTTTAAATGCTTTCGGTATTCATATCTCTACAACTGTCTAGAGTAGAGAATTCCAGATAATTAGTAGATAACAAGGTGTACAGCTGGATGAACACAGCAGGCCAAGCAGCATCAGAGGAGCAGGAATGGGCATTTCTGAAGAAGGGTCTAGGCCTGAAACATCAGCCTTCCTGCTCCTCTGATGCTGCTTGGCCTGCTGTGCTCATCCAGCTCTACACCTTGTTATCTCAGATTCCTCAGCATCTGCAGTTCCTACTATCTCAGATAATTAGTAGTTCTTCACCTCTCAATTTTAAATGACTGTCTCCTTATTCTGTAATTATGTCCCCATAAGTCACATAAGATTTGTATCCAGTTCAGACACAAATGTCGTAAGTTTATTCTGATGATCCTTGGACAACATAACGTTGCTAGCACTTGTTACTAAATAAATTCACAGCTGGGATCCTTTTTATGACAATGATGTTTGTATTTTTACAGCTGGTTGTACAGCTGTATAATAAAAACACACCCTTAAGTATTATGCCATTTACATCAATTATTTTAACAGAAAGAATCACCATGAGTTCAGATTTCAGAGCAATTATCTGGAGAGAATAATTGAAATACCAGTGAGTTACAATACCTTTTTCCAATGAGCTTTGGTCTTTAATGAATATTGTATCATACTTACTGTTTACTCCATCACTTAATGCCCCACCTATCTAGTAATGCTGGATTGACCTTACTACTACCCCATTCCATTTCTAACTGTTGTTTATATTAAGGTTTGAGGAAGAGTTCTTTTCAATCCTTCAGTCTGCCAATGGCAGTGCATTTGAACTGTTTTAAAATAATTTCCCAGTGTTCATCATCTTTTCACATATACCATTCCCAAATTAAAAAAGTTTTCATAAACAGAGCCTGAAGCCCCCACCTCCCCCCCCACTGCAAATAATCACAGAACAAAAGAATTAAACATTTGTCTGATATATTTTTCAGAACTTTCAAGAAAGAACTGATCAAAACTCCATTTGGAATCCTGTTGTGATTTAACTGAAGCAATATGTGGCCCCCAAAGAAATCTCTGTACTTTGTGAAAATCAACTTAATTTTGTTCCATTCATTCCCAACTAATTTTTGCAAAGGTATTTCTGTATTAGAGCATAAAGTATATTTCCATGAAGCTTTCAATTACTTTAGATATAACGAAATATATTGACTTAATATCCTCTGTGATTTGGAGAAGGTTAAAACATAGACCTGAATTTCAGCACTTCCTTGACATACACCCAGATTGTATTGCAAATCAAACCGTAGATTAGGAGAACTTGAACAAAAATGCATCTTGACATTACTGTTATTGGAATTCTTTACAGCTTCAGTTTTCTTTATCTTTTCCATGGTCTAACTAGGAGGCATATTCCCCAATGGAAGCCAATGTATCTTTCCCTGGTAGTTACAAGAAAAACATTTAAAGACTTAGCAGGAATTTGGTTGATGGTGTAGCTTTTGATTTTCTCTTTCTTGGAAGATTTCCAAAGCACAAAAGAATTTAGCTTCTTTCAGAGTAAAACCTGGCTCAAGATCAAAGGCTTTATAGTACACCAATGTCAAAGTAGGTAGGCCCACTGCTAGAATTGGATAAAACTTTGCATAATCATTTCTTTGCACCGTATGTGCTTGATTAACTAACCAACACCAGAGGTTTTACCTCCGAGAAACAGAAAGTGCATTTTGAAATCCCTTTTTTATCTTTTGACTCATTTATGAACGTGTTCATTACTTTATTCTGTTCATTCTTGGGATGTAGGCATTACTAACCAAGCCAGTCTTTATTGTCCATCCTTAGTTGCCTTCTTTGAACAGGAAGTACTGAAGTTGCTTCTGTGGTGTCATAGGCTTGGTACCTAGAGTTTTTTGACCCAGTGATGATTTCTGTAAAAATTGCTCTGCTCCATTTTTAGAAAGTGCTAATCAACAATTCCTCTAGATTTTCTTTATACTGGTCAGACCGCAGACAACATTTTTGCCACTGAGCAGTTTACATTTTAAACATCATGACTTACATTGTGCTAAGAATTTCCCCAATGCATTGGAAAATTTGTAAATGGCCTGTTTTTTGCCAGTGCTTATTTTGTTCTAGATTACCACATGACTAGACACATGTCATCTTGGAGGCAACATTGGTATGAATAATTATGAAAGTGTGGGTTTAACCATCTGTTAATCCAGTAACAGTTAGGGATATTAAATATTGTTGTGATAATGTGATCTTTTTCTTGTGTTTCACAATGTACAATACAATATTGCACAGGAACAGGCCAAACCTTTTCTGCAGCCTCTCCAAAGCATCCACGTCCTCTGGTAGCATGACGACCAGAACTACACGGAGTATTCCAAATGTAGCCTAACTAAAGTTTTATACAGCTGTAACATAACTTATGGGTAATATTTATTGCCAAACCTAATTTAGTGACTTCCTAGGCCACTTCCAAAAGCATTAAAAATAAAGCACATGTTATGTGGCTGGTTTCAGAAATATGCCAGATCTGTTGGAGAAGCGTGTTCCTTTCTTAGAACATTTATGAAACCCGGTGGGGCTTTTCTAATCGTCCAGTCATTTACTTTTCCTAGCTATTGTATGTTTTATTATGTTCAGTTTCACAGCCTGCCATGATGAGATCATGGATGTATAAGGTTTAGTTTGGAATAGCCCGGTACCATAACCACCATACTTCCATTCCAACATTCAGACTTAAACCTCAGCAACTTTTTTGGTGCATAGAAGAGCCCTAGTCTCTAGAGGATGTACTGGCTTAAAGTCAACGTTGGTTTAATTTAAAAGC